AGGATGGGGGGTTGCGTCCGATTTTAGATCTGCCTCAGTTGAACCGCTCAGTCATGCGACTGAAGTTCAAGATGCTCACTATCAAACAAGTCATGTCTCAGATCAGGTCCGAGGACTGGTTTGTCACGGTAGATCTAAAAGACGCATACTTCCACGTCAAACGAGACACCGCTGTGTTTGAATGGAGATGCGCAGCGGCTGAGCTGTGACTTTGTTTCAAACTATTTTCGACGACGAAATAGAGCAAAATCAGACAATAGTGTTATATATAGTCAGACAATGTAAGTCACTTAATATTAATCTTGTCTATTAAACTGTTGTATTAAATCAGTATCACATTTACAAACCCTACACAGGCAGGGAGCACGATATTTCATCCCCGCCCGGAGTTGTGGAAATTGTGGGTGTGGCACCTGATCCTCTCATAGCTTCCGGTCTCTCAACCGAGGTTGTTGAGACCATCCTCCAATCCAGAGCTCCCTCAACGAGGAAACTGTACGCCCTGAAGTGGAAACTTTTCACTTCATGGTGCGGAGACTGCAAGCTAGATCCAGCTAACTTCCCGATTGGTACAGTTCTGGAGTTCCTGCAGGCCCGATTCTCTGCAGGGTTGACCCACTCCACCCTGAAGGTCTACGTGGCGACCATTGTGGCCTACCACGCCCCTCTTGGTGGCCAGTCAGTGGGCAGACACCCCCTAGTTACACGTTTCCTCCGCGGTGCGCTGAGGTCCCCGGTACAGTCCTGTGTTCCCCCGTGGGATTTGGTTGTGGTGTTAGAGGCTCTCTGTAAAGCTCCTTTCGAGCCCATTGAAGAGATATCTGATCGACATCTCACAATTAAGACTGCCTTCCTTCTGGCTATTTCCTCTCTGAAGAGAGTTGGGGATCTCCAGGCCCTCTCAGTGGCCCCTTCTCATCTTGACTCGCCTGGCATGGCCAAAGCATTTCTTTACCCTCGAGTAGGGTATGTCCCCAAGGTTCCCTCTGTCATGCCACAGCCTATCATACTGCAGGCTTTCTGTCCTCCTCCCTTTAGGGAGCCCGGCCAGCAGAAGCTTAACTGTATGTGTCCAGTGCGAGCA